GGGGGTGTGTATTGTTTTTAGAATTGGACGGACAGCGGTCTTTTGTTTACGGTGAGGCACCGATGACGCATGGTCAAATATAATGGCCCCTCAGACCGCACTTGGTTTGTGGAGTGCGTGGAGCGTGTGTTCTGGTGCATTCCTCCCACATTCCTTTTGCATGGTTTGAGGGCATTAACTAAATCGTCTTTACTGGATGTGTTTGTTTTTTTTGTACTTTCTTCCAGTGCATAGCTTACAGTTTTACGTTGATTTCTCACTATACAGCAGCCTATACTTCTTTACCACTTATTTATGCCACAATGGTATAAGAATCAATCGGGACATACTTGAGATAAGTTAGACATCACAGTGAAAGAGTTTCTCATTTGTTTTTAGTGACTTAACTCTAAGGTTTAGTTATTACAGTCCCAGAAAGGAAAAATGGTATTGTTAGTACAGGGAGTGGCCCTCCAGGAGATTTGGTTTATTATGCAATGCTTCAGGGCCTGAAAAACTACCTGTTTACAAAAGGAACTTTCACTGGACTCTGAGGCCTGAAGGTCATAATGAAGTTAAGGATATTAATGAGAATAGTAACAGAATGAAAGCATATTCCTCACAGTGACTGACCCACACGACCCGTGCAATAAAACCTTGTGGGTATTTTTGTGTGTATATTATGTGTGTAAATTCACGTGTGTGGAATTGCCTCAAGGTAAACGAGAGTGAGAGACTCTGCTGCTGATGAGGTCCACAGTTTTAGGATTTTGCATTCCTCTCATTCTTGTTACAGAGGATGGGTGGAGGAGAGGAAGGGTGTGTGTCAGTGTGTGCAGAGGCAGATATGTAAGTCGAATCGTACAATTATAAGATTGTCAGCAATTTCAGGGGAGGATCTGAAGTGGAAAAAATCTCTGCACCGGTAACATCCATAACATGAGGTGTTATGTTTGTTTTTAGGTCTTAAGGTCTACATATATACATATAGTGAGCACAATACCTCAGGTACAGTTTCTTCAAATTTAATACAAACCTTCACTTGGGGTACAGGAACCAACTGATTTAAATTTGGTGTTCAGCACGTTTTCGGAACGTGCTTATACACTAGTGAATATGATAAAATCCCACCTTCATACCTTTAAAATTCTGACCAGACATGACTGGTTGGCAGAGGCATGAGGCAGTAATTGTAGTTATCTTTGTGTTTGTGTGGTTAGTCCTTCAGAACAGAACAGAGTGTATGTGCAGGTGCCTAATCCCTTTTGTGTAAGAACAATAGAAACACATAACTCTTGAAGCAAACGTCACTAACCACTACTGTGTGCATTATACTGGAAACTGTTTTTGCTGTCAGAAATGACTTCAGTTAGGTGAATGGCTGTAGTTGCTTTAACAAAAACTTATAGCAAAGTAACTAAACTCATTAAACTGATAGTCATCACTGATATGATGAAGACATTAGGAGTCATTAGCGCCTCCAAACTGTCACTTAATGCCATATTCATATTTCATTATACAGTTTCATTGTTTTAAAGGTTTTAAAATGCCACTCAGTAAGATCTCTGTCGGACTGTAGCTTTTTACTGCTTTACTTTTTGTCATTTGTAAACCTACCATAGTTATGTGAAAATAATGTAGCATAACAAACAAGAATGGCGCTTAGTAGAGCGCATTCCTCCGCCCAGGCCCAACAGTCCAGTTAAATTAAATATAAACTCAGATATCAGTCCTCTGAACATGCAAATCTGTAAAAACGCACCTCTAATTTCTTAATGTGAAAGAAAGTTTAATAATTCCTGGATCAGCCCCTCTGTCCAGATGCACCAAAAAATCCATTGGGTTCCTTTTGGGTATCGTTCCCAATGTTTCAAGAAAATCTGCTCAGTAGTTTCATGAGTGATCCTGTTTACAGACTAACGGCAGTGAAGGCAATAAACTGATGATTTTAATTGGTGTCGGCTGATCAATGCTGAAATGCTTCAAGCGGCACGTCTTAAGGCCAGTAGGAATGTTTTTGTATCATACATATTGAAGTCAGCAGTGTCACCAACAACTTCAGGGGTTTTTGTCACATTGAATCATAGTCTTTCTTGTCAGTGTTTCTTCTGGGATTTAGAAACAAAGTATTAATAGTTGAATTAAGTTTGACAGAGAAGAACTCTTTGAAATGTGGAGAGTCCCGTTCTTGAAATGCACAAGGGTGAGGTTGAGCAATAAGCCTGATTGTCATGCTTATGAATCACTAGGAGATCAGTAAAGTGTTGCTGTCTCTGTGGCCATGTTTTTTACGATCTGTGATTAAACAGATTATTTTCAGCAACAACCCAAAAACAAACTGAAAAAGCCATTGACGTTACTGTGGAGTTTTGTTTCTCTCCAGAACTGAGGCAAAGTTAATTTTGGGGTTAGCCCTCAAGCAAAAACGTCATCACTTAACCACTCTATACTGAACCCTCTGTCTGTCTTCCTCTCTCAATATCTCCTAAAATCACTTAACACACACACACACTCACTCTGGTGTGGATCATGTGACGCTTTTCAGCTGACTTCAGTCGGGGAGTTTAAACATTGACTGTCTCTGGCCTGTGATTTTATCATTGTTTTCAACAGCTCACTTCCTGGAACGAGTGTGTGGAAACACAACCATAAAATATTTTTCTTTTGAAAGCCCAGAGTCTCACCTGTTTCTATGAATGAATCCTTGACCATGCTGAAAATGTAACGCAACGTAATCATTGCCTCTGTATTTCAAGCATCTCTGACTCAAACCACAGTTATTTTTGTGAAACCTCTCTGAGTCACACCCTGGTAAACAAGATAGACAATCTTGCCCCCAAACCACTTGGGGCAAAAACAGGAAGTGCACTGGGCTCAATCAGAGTTTGGGCATTGCGTGTCATCCCTGTGCATGGCGGTGCTGTGTTTTTGTCGACAGTATTCTGTATTTGTTTAGCTTAACGCACGGTTCCCTCGTTGGTTTCCATAGTTTCAGCTCTTTGAACTGTATGCAGATGGTCACGGCAGAGAAGCTGCCTTGGGCACTTGGTCTGGACATACAGATATGATGCTCTTTGCTTCCTGTTTATTCTTGAAAGTTTTGCTGTACTTCCACTGCCAGACAATGTTTTGTAGAGCAGCAAAGAAGAAGTGATTTTTAATAGTGTGGCGTCAGCAAATTAGCAATATTTCACACTGGAAAGTCTCACATGTAAAATGGCGAGGTGTACTTTAGTTTCAAGGGGTGTTGTGTATTACTAGATTTGTTTATTAGTATTCTTTTTCAGTTATGACCATCAAATTAAATAACAAGACGTTCCGTGGTGTTAATTTGCTGTTAATGTTTGTTTTTCAAAGGGTTTGTCCTGAGACAGGTCATACAACAATAATAGCAATCATTACTTCCATACAGGGTTAGTAGCATACAGCTCTTAGAATACATTGTGGGGCTGGGCCATTAACCAGAAATGTATTGAAACCCAAATGTTTAGTCTGTAACTGACTTAATCTTGCTCATGTTGGTTAATTGGTTAATACTTTTCCCAACTGTCTGGTTTCCGCTACGTTCCGTGCTGTATTACCCTGCTGCATGTCCTCGCTCCTCACTCCACCGCTGACCTCTGCTCACTTTACACTAAAACAGTAAACACCATGACTAATCAGAAGTTATTAGGACATGTCGAGCAGTGAAGTTTACTTTGTGATTGTTTGATTCGCTCTAGAGTTTATGAGACACATATTTAAACACACTGAAAGAACGCACGTAGTTTATCTGTTACACACAACATGAGACCAGACGTGACGGGCACAGCCAAGTGTTGGCATAAAATAATTGTTCATTAGATTAAGATTACATTTTTTTGAATGCACGGTATTGGACAGGTACACGGTATTGGCCAATATGCATAGCGCAGGTATTGGCATTATAGTCCCTCAGAGTCCTCGCCAGGGCCACTAGTACGTCCATCTTATTGTCTTGTGATGTCATGCTTGTGTTATGAGAGATTCAGGGCGATCAGCTCGACCCTGGTGTAAACAAAGTGACCGTGGAGTTGCTGCGTAGTATTAGCATAGCTGAATAACAGAATTCAAAAAGCTATCTGAATTAACAGACGGGTTCATTCAAACTTGTGTGACAGTAGGACAGGTTTTGGTACTAAAATGATTCAACACCTCGTAGATGAGACTCAGACTTTCTTCTGTTATGAGGATTTTTTCACCCTGAGTTCTTTGGCTTCTACTCTGAAAAACATTTCAATAAGAACACTTTGATTTACTTGTGTATTCTATCACTTCAGGTTACAGTAAATGTACCAAATGCATGACCATACTATCACTAGATAACAGTGACAAACATCGCAGATACACTCATACAGTGAGCACAAAGTTCAGTCACTTAGTGAAGAACTCTTATAGACATTGTCACCTCTGATAATGGTGTTGTACTCTACAGTCCAGTCTATGGGGCATCTTTATCATCTGCATTTGTAAAGATGACTAAAAATGAAAAGGACGAAACGCAACCTGAATCAATAGCTGTTACAATTATAGCGTTGCTCTCTGCAGTTTATTCTTGTTCAGGCAAACTGCCTCGTCAGTGATTTCTAATATCGTCTCTGCTGTGACCTTGAGTGAAAGGGAAGTTATTAGGTATCATAGAAAGGAGAAGTAAGGACACTCGGAGGGGGGTCACAGGGGGCACTTGAAACGCTGTGTACTTTCTGTTGTCTTATCTCAGATGACGGTGAAACCAGGGCCCCTTCGAGTGAGTGTGAGCTTACGTCAGGTGACACAGACTTGCAGACAAAGGCTCACTTACAGAGCAGATCACATCAAATCAATTTTGCCACATTTTACATCTGTTTACTTTCTCCTAAACTTAATGTTTAACTTTCTACTCTACTTCTTACATACACTATGAACACTAACAGACTCATTTAAACAGCTCCCAGACATCTACTGGTCTGTGGTTTTCCCTCCTCCCCTTAACTGTCAGTTTGTTTTGTCCTTTTGTCCATCAGATGCAGTGTCCCAGAAGCAATCCACACACCCCCAGTGAGAAGCAGAGGCACAGAAAATAAGAGACTTTAGGAAAGAGCAGGTAAAATTCATGTTATTACCTGTTTTTGTATCCTCATTAGGACATATTGCAGGTCTAAGATGTAAATTGTGGTTAGCTTAAGGTTAGAGTTGGGTATGAATTGGTCACAGTTAAGGTTAGAGAAGAGATATTATTTTGGCTGTTCACAATGAATGGAAGTCAGTGCAAAGTCTTTACAAGTATAGCTGTGCAAATGTGTGTGCGTGTCAACTGTTTTTGTGTGT